GGATTAGAACTTTCAGTGCGTCACGTCATCAACTGCTGAATTTAAATCCGCTTTCGCGCTTCGCCTGGCGCAGAGCCAGATCGGACGGGCTTGTCATATTATCACAAATATTAATTGTTTTCAACCATATAATAACTCACGTGCGAAAGGGTTAAAGCTGTTTGCATCATGAGGGAGGCATATGTCATCATCAATTTGATTCTTTGCACCCATTATGGAAAAACTAATCAGGGTTACATTACGTAAATTCCAGTCTATGATTAGAATGTGCTTTGCTTTGTCTCCCTCTACTGGCCAGACGAGGAACTATAGCGACTACCTGGGATGACGCGGTAAACGTAATTTGACCAAGTACAACATGTTCCTGAATTAACATCTTTGTTGATCCTGGAACATCATTCCAATCAACCAATCAGAATTGAGGGTTAACTTTATATATATTAGGGAGGGTCTGCCTTTTTTATAAATCATATAAAAACACCATCTAGAATGTAGGGTAGAGTGGGGGGAAACGCCCCCCTTAAGGACTGTGTAATTTTTTTTCTGTAAAACAAAGGTTAAATGTGTTCAGAAAAGTTATCATAGTTTTAGTGACACTGACATAAATTATAAACCACGTATGAAAAAAGTCCAGAGTTTTCGTGTTATTAGATTTTTAACAAAAATTAAATTTGTACCAAGGGGGTGTTACCCTGGGGCAGAACGCCCCCATGGGTGGGGTACAATGCCCCCCAGTCAAACAAAGCAATTTGCTTTAAACATTTACAGCAAAATCAGAGTACATGCAGTTTTAGCTTAAAATGTAAAAAACAAAAAGAATATAATCAATAATTATGGATCACAAAATTATAATAGCCAAAAAAATAACAAAATAATTTTTTAGCTGATGCTAACTGGCTAGTTGACTAGCTACTTGATGCTAACTTGAGATAATTTTTAAATATAAAGTCCGAATATGTTGATTCAACCAACTAGGTAGAATACATTTGATGGAAAACTAAGGATTTGATGTTCAGAACAGAATTACTACAGTAGGGGCCGTTTTACCCCACAGACTGTTTGAGAAAAAATTAGCCTATGTCATTCTGAAAATATAATTATATTTTTTATTAAATAACACATACTCCCTATCTACAGGTCCAGCTGTTCTCTTATATATAACTGTGATGTTCTACAAAACAACAAGCTTTAAAACTTTTTTTCTTACAGCTGAAAATGAGATCATTTACTGTGAAATCCGTTTTCTCTCCGGTACATCACCAGTGTAAGCTTCATCGTGAAAACTTCTGCATCACTCTTGGCAACTTAGTCCATAGTTACAATAAAAATGTATCTTGACTTTATCTTGTGGTTATTTTGGGAAAAACAGTAGGGGGCATTTTCCCCCACTCTACCCTATATGTTCATGCAGGTCTAACAAGTTTTTTGAGCCTGGCATACTGTGTGTTTGTTTGTTTATTTTATGGATATTTTTAACCAGGCCCATACTTTTCATAACCTTTGGTTAGCAAGATGGCTGCACTGTTGACAGCAATAAATGAGCAAAACACTTTAATGCCATGGAAAGCTATTAGATCTATTAATTATTAACTAGACAGTGGTTATAGCCTATGTATAATAATCAAACCAAAACTTATCGCAGATTAGTGTTATTACAGTGAACGTTATGACATGACCCCTTTAAATGTTATTTAATTTCCCAGCATAGTTACACAATATGCATCTCAATAAAGACTCGTCTTGTGCTTTAAGATGGGTCATGATCATTGGGCCTCACCCATTTCACATCATTGCACTAAATCATAAACCAAAGTCTAAAACGATAAGATTAGGGTGGCATATTGGTGTACTGTAATACATGTGGCACGAACAGGTCACATTTTACAATATAAGTTCCAGTAAACAGATTTATGATAGATTTATGTATTTTTATTCTAACACATCCAGATTCACACTGACACCTGAATCGCAGATCCCCATAGAATATTTATATAGAAATATATTTTTGTTAATTTCTGCATACACATGATTGTCATCTTTAGATATATTTGCTTAATATTATTTCACTCTATTTTGACTTTATACAATGTCGAAAGATGCATACAGAACCTGTCACAGATTAAGCTTTAAATACTTATAAATATTTAAATGTACATCTTTTTTATTTAGTATATATTTAATTTTAATACTTAATAATACATGCTTTCCGTTTATAGTTTATTTGTATTTTGTATTTATTGTATAAAGTCTGTATCATTGTATATAATATTATACAAGTCTTTGTATAATTTTTTTTTACTATTTACACACTTGACATACATACATACATACATACATACATATATATATATATATTATTATAAATATTATAAATAGTATAAAGTCATAATATTGCATATGTTGCTTCTGTTGCTGCTAATAAAATTGACTTTAGTATTAGTTGATCTTCAGGCCTCTAGTGGCTTTATTTTGATCCCTCACTCCACAGCATGTCCAGTATGATCAACACCAAACAATTAGAGACAAACACACACAAGCTCTTCTGTCAGTCTCGGGAGAAAGTTCCTCCATTGTTTTTGTTTGGTAGCAGTAAAGATTCTCCGCAGAGGAGAGTAATCTTTTGTCCATCTCTCGTTAATTATGAAGGCCCATGAGGGAAGCGGGCTCATTAGAGCTGGGCAGAGGTTCTTGAATATCTAATGAGCTCATTTGCTCCCGGAATCTCTCAGATCACATTATGTCCAGCTCACTGGGGATATGCCAAGAAATAGCCAGAAAATAAAAACTGGATCCAAAGACACATGGTTGTAAGTACCTTCTAAACGCCATGCCTTTGTCAAGTGGTTTCTTAGCTTTTATGATCTCATCTAATCAGGTATAATAAATATTTTCTTTTCTTTTTTTTTCCATTTTTCATGTTATAATTAGGAACAATAAACATATCTTTAACCCTAGTTCTATCCATGTTATTTCTGTGTTCTCTATTCCAGCCTCCATTAATCTTGTGTCTTTTAAGTTTGCTCAGGAGTTGCTGAATGAATTTGTGAATTGGCCGGATTATTTTGGACATAATCTGTTGTGACATTTGTTTGCCTACCCACACTTGTTGTTCTGCTAAACCATTCTCTGAACACTGTTTTAGGATCTGATTTTGTGGTGCCACTAAGCAGCTTTGTCATCTGTCTACAGGGTGAGAAGACTGTATTGAGCATGCAGTCTTTTCTCCGCTGCAATGTTAAAGATTAACGTTTACAACTAAAGGACAGTAATAGCCAGTGATGCACTAGCCAAAGGTCTCATATATTATATATTGTTCCCTCATTTGAAGAACGCCACTTGTTGGAATAGTACAAAGAGCAGACTGGGCACAGTAAGTCTTCATCAGCCTTATATCATTTTTGACTTAGTGACTGCATGTAGATCAAGAGCCTATACCCAGATTAAGCTTTACTTTTTGGAGATTATTCTTTTGTGAATGATAGGTTTGTAAATTTTGATTGTAGACATTGATGACATTCAACCATTCCATGGCTTGAAAAAAAATAAGGCAGATTGATTTGATACTATTAATTATTGTTCTAAATTGCAGCATTGGATTGATCTTTCTTTTCTAGACTTGTGTCCATGTGTGTTTCATAACATTTGAAAAAAATAAACCATTATAGTAAACTTATCATTGTTTTATCACCTAATTTTGGAGGTGGAAATGTTCTGCATTTAATGGTGATTTTGTGTTCTGTTTCTTTGATATTTCAGCCTTACAGACAAACATGGGGAAGATGGGGAAACCTTTACTTCTCCTTTTTGCTTTTTTAGCTTATTGTGAGTATCTGAGAATTAGTCAGTGTCCATATCATCGATCAAAAGTTGTGGCTTGTTACACTGTACTAGCTCAAAGTCCAAATCCAATAATGGTACAGTCTTAAGTGGACAGCAGCCAATGGAATTAAGCTTTACTGTCATTTACAGAGGAGAATTCACAAATGTGTTTAGTTTTAAATAAGAGTTTTGTCTTAGAATTGCTTTCTTTTGACTCACATGCTGATTCATGTTTGTGTTTTCTGCAGCGTACTGTAATTCTGTCCCTGCGATTAACATGGCTGTAGTAGATGTGAGAGAAGATCGTCCAGTAGGTCTGTACATCAGCCCAAATTTCAGTCTCAACTATATGCTCAATCCCATATTGCATTTATGTATGCATGAATGTAACATTTTCCTAATTATGCATTTCCCCGGCAGGTGAATTTGCGTTTCAAATCGAAGCATCTGATCCAGATGGTGACCCTCTAACATATGGTATCACTGGGACATACTCTAGTCATTTTGAAGTCGACAGGGCGTCTGGTGAAGTCACAATCAAGAGTATGCTGGACAGAGAGGTATTTTGTTGGGATTTTAAAAGTCTGCCTTCTATTCTTGAATTGAGAAGAAGGAACAACAGTTGGAAATTATGAATTTCAAATAATTTCCACAACAATTTGTATTACAATTACTCTACATAAAAGACAGTCGGTTAACTTTGTGTATGTTTATGTGTTTTCTTTTTTCAGACGAATGACCTCTTAAACATAGAGGTTGTGGTGAATGATGGCGTTTATGCGGATGTAAGTTGGATCTACTGGATGTATTACCATGCTCAGAAAATTAACTCTCCTGAGTCCTAAAATGTCTTTCTGTCATTTTAGGTGACAAAAACAGTTTATATTGCTGTTTTAGATGCTAATGATAATGCTCCAGTATTCCAAAATCTGCCCTATAACGAAGAGGTTCCAGAGGTGAGTGAGCCTGTTATCATTAAGGATGTAAATATGGATGCTGTTGCTGCTCAACACCTTACAGTTGTTACACAAAGGAATAATTCACCTAAACCCAATAATTTTGTTGTTTACTCACCTCCTGTCTTTCAGAACAGGGCTTTTGTTAAGGCTCAATTTTTTTTAAAGAAGTAAAAATGGCACATGAATGACAAAATAGGCTATATATGGCATTGTATTTATTTGATTTCCCCAGAAATATAGACTAACTTTACAAGGTCACACTGTAAACTTTGCATAGTTGTTAGCATAGACGTTAGACATAAGATCTCTATTTCACCAAACAGTTTTATTATTAGGCCTAATCAGCTGAAACCTTCTGATTGACAATAGCCCACCTATTGGCTGAATAAGGTACTGTTTTAAAAACGCGGCGCTCATGCAACAGGGGAAAAAAAGCAAAGCAGCGAGTTGAGAAGTAAAAGATAGCTACTGAAGCTGCCAAGTTCCACAAAAGAAAAAAAAAAGTATCATAGTAGCCTCAATAAAGGAGCCAATATAACTTCAGTAGGCCTTCTGTATAAATTTATTGTTCACTGAAACGTCTTCCCTCGCTCTCCATTCTTTGTTCGGATCTGTTTAATGATCATTGAGTCAGTGTGTTGAACTTGAGAACTGTAGCCTATCTGTCTGCTATGTAATGAGTCATTATTTTGTGAACTGGATCTGGTTGATCCATGATTCAGTCATAAATCCTGTTCTCCAGTCAGGTTAACTGACTCAATGATCTGATTGCAGAGGTTTAAAAAAAAAAAAAGAAAGAAAGAAAGAAACTTTTTTTTAAATGTAGAACTTAAATCTAGTTGTTTTTTTCTTCTTTTTTTTCACATAAAGCTATCGTATGGCATGGCAAATAATACTGACTTGGATTATAACACACGAGTCATACTTTTTATGGGTGCTATTGTGTCCCTTTTGAATTTTAAAAGTTTCGATTTCCATTCACTGTAATTGCACTGAAAAAAAGTAACAAGTGCATTGTTGTACAAAATTCTACGTCTTACGGAAAAAAGGAACAAATGGGTTTAGGACAACATGAATAATATGACTAAATGGGTTATTTTGGGTGAACTAATCATTTAAGAGGCGTTAAGATCTACAAGCTGTGATGGTGTTGATCCTGTGTGAATGTGAGCTTGGTTAATTATGTCTGGAATCTGCTCTAATTTAACTTTACTCTCAGTCTGAGTGGTTTAGCACAGAGAAAGCTTCAAGAAGTGACAGTGTGTGTGTGTGTGTGTGTGTGTGTTTGTTTATTTATTTATTTATTTTTCAGGATAGTTCGAGTTGTTTCTTCACATTTATTTATTTATTATTCCCTCCTACAGAATGAACCTGTTGGCAGTACACTGTTCAGAGCAAACGCCATAGATAAGGATACTGGCATGGCTTCTATTGTGACTTACAAAATTGATAATGTATGTTCCCTTCATGTCATAAATTACATTTTCACATTGACATCTCACTTTCATTCATAATACAGTACGTTTGTCTTAGGTGGCACCAAATGAAGGGACTAGCCTATTTTCAATCTCTGAGACTTCTGGAATTGTTGTCCTGGCGGGAACTTTGAGCTTCACTGACAAAAGTCCTTTCTATCAGATACAAGTCATTGCATCTGTGAGTATTTATTTATGAAGTAATCATATTCAGATAAGCAATGGGCTGCTTGTTGAATGAGGGAAAATATCTGTGTGGAATGGGATGTACAATTAAAAATATATGCATAAAAACATTGCAGTATTTCATTACTTAAAAAAAAAAAAAACATATAGTCAAATACAATCATTTATGTGACAAGGATTAGGTATAAGTGATTTCACATTTTAATTGAACACTTAAAAAATGAAGAAAAACACAGGACATGAGGATGAATAGTTATTTTTAGGTGCACAATTCCTTTAACTTTAATGTATCTCATTGAGATTTGTTTTGTATTTTCCAATTTCCTCACTCACATTAACCAGTACCTTTAATCATTTTGGTCTTTATTGAGTGCACTGAATATTAATAAAATATTGTTCGCTTGCTTGTAGGAGTTGTCACTATTAATATTGTGGATATCAATGACAATGCCCCAGAATTTGTCGTCTTGCAGGACTTCTATGGTAAACAAAAATTATATAAAAAAAAAAAAAAAAAAGAAAAGAAATGATTGTCATATAAGCAAATGTATATTGTTTATGCAAAAAGTTTTAACATATTTCTGTTTCTCTAGTTGTAGTCATTGAGAAAGTTGAGGCGGGCTCATCTGTCGGCAGAGTTTATGTAAGTGTGATAGTTTACTTATTGACAATTTGAGGTCATTTGAGGACTTTTTTATATTACAATATAATGTCTTTGAATCTCCATAAAGTATTTTCCCGGGTTTGTTTCCTCTTACCATTTTAAGGCCACAGACAGAGACACAGGAGAGAACAAGAAAACCAGATTTGAAGTTACCAAGGTGGACTTTGTCGGCAGTGAAGGGAGTTCCTCAGAGAGTTTGTTTCTCTACGCTGACTCTGCTGATCAGGAAGATGCTGATGGAAGGTTCAGTGCACATATAAGGTGAGAAATTAAAATTCCTAACCTGTTTGTAACTCACGAATCAGAAGAAATAGAAACTACTCAATTGGCAACAGTCAAAATTAACTAAACTGGAGGTAAACAAGCAAATGTCTCTTCATAATGTCCAGGTCCCAGAAGGCAATGGATAATAATAAAAGAGGAAAGTTCATAGTGCAGGTGAAGGCGTCTAACCCTGATGAACTCAGTTCCACCTCTGTGGTTGAGGTAAGGCATTCTCACCCCTATACAATTTATTATTAATTCATTGTCTTGTTTATTTTGGTCATTTTCTATTTGCGTTGTTTTGCAGCTTCTCACAGTTGACAGCTCCTACAGAGTCAGTCTCAGATTTAGTGCGTCTGTGTCTGAAGTCAATGAGAATTTGCCTCACATCAGAGCGTAAGAGATGCTGTTTAAGATTGATTTGAATCTATTGATTTGTGAAGAAGTGCTATTTTAAAGGACACCTGGAGTATGATTCATTATTATTATTTATTTGATGCTTTTTTAAAATTCAGGTCAAAAGGAGTAAATGTGTTTGATATTTTTTTTTACAGGATTCTGATAAGTGCTACAAAAGCAACAGTTGAATTCTTCAATGTGTTTAGTGAGACAGTTACCCGGTAAGCTTCAATCACCCATGTCCCCACGTATACATATACATACACATACAGAAAACTAAACTGAATCTCACCAAACTCATGTAAACCTGAAATCCAGCAGGTGGCATATGCATCATAGACTAAATCCAAGTCAGTTTGTATTTTCTCTCCCAAAGAGACTCAAAATTCCCTGTAGATTTCCTGTCTTGTCAGTACTACTGTTATTAAGCAAACATTCCTTTTATATGGCATAATTACAGAAAATTCTGGATTTAAGCTGCAAGAGACCAGCAAAACTTTATATACACTGTAAAGAAATTCCATCTATTTCAACTCAAAAGTCAGCAACTGAACTTAAGTTTTTAAGTTTAATCAGCTTAGACGTATAAGTCATTTTAACTTAAATGATTTTAAACTGACTTTTAAAAAATCAAGTTGAATCTCATGTTACTTATAAAAACAGTTGAAATAGCTCAACATATTTTGATGAGTTTATATAAAAACATAAGCTGCCATGACTCACTGACACTGATTATATCGGTTTTTACAGTGTATTTATACTATATTTCTATTACTGCTCAAGGGACCCAAAAATTGTCAGAATTTACTCCCCCAAACCTGTATAACTTTATTTCCTCTGTGGAATATAAAACGAGACATTTTAAAAAATATTCAGTGTTGTCATTGTTAACTAAAACTATATAAAAAAATTTAAATACATTATTTAAAATACATTTACATTTGCATTGTGTTTATGCATATATCAGATGCTTTTATCCAAAGTGACTTACAAAAGAGGAAAAAAATGCTTTGTAATATACAATGCCAGGTTTATTTGACAACCAGATTAGGAATAAGTCAACCCAGTCTCATAAAAATACGTACCTCTGTGTACATTTCTGCAACACCGTTTTTACGTACCTTACTGCACGTTTCGCCGCAGTTTCAAAGAGAAATGTCCACTGAGTGGCGCTAAAACACGGGTTCAATACGTCCACCCTGGCACGTTTTTATTACGTTGATATAGGTACGTATTGCTGTGTTTTTATTGCGTTTCTTCAGGTACGTATTGCGGCGATTCAGAATTCAAATATCCGGGGACTGTCGCTAAAAGTTAATGCTCTGTCGTGTTGGAAATATGCCCTACACCAAACCCAACCCTAAACCTACCCGATAGTGTTAACAAATGCAAAACTGATATAAAAACACATTTTTTGATGCAACCGTGCCATTTTAACTTACTTATGAGCAGATTTGAACTGTTTTGTCGAACCGTAGTTACACCATCTATCCATCTATCTATCTATCTATCTATCTATCTGTCTGTCTGTCTGTCTGTCTGTCTGTCTGTCTATCTATCTGTTTGAAACCTTTTTGCAGTAGACAAAATTATAATCAAAAGCATTTTTAATACTTTGTTATATCTCACCAGATTATTACTGAAGATGCTAGTGCAGACTTCACCTCTATGGCCTCTGTCATCATTAACATCAATGATGTAAATGACAACTTTCCTGAGTTTGAGGAGGATGCTTATGAGTTTTCTGTTGATGAACACTGTGATGATGGAACTGTTGTGGGCATCATTACTGTAAGCAAAATATCTTCTATTTGCTCACTTTTCCTTTTCGTGGTGACTAAACAATACAGACACAATCTGTATTGTTAAAAGCGCTACTTGACTTGACATGACTTGACTAAGATTGATTGATCTTCTGGTTTGACAGGCAACAGATGAAGATGCCTTGGATGAAGGCAAACTCACTTACAAATTGATGCCCGAAAACATGTATGTTGAATATTCAGTCTGCTATCATTTGGTTAGGACAAAATTACTCAGTTAGTTAGTCATTGCAAGTTTGCCATAAAAAAGACTTAAGATGTAATTTTCTTTTTTTTCCCTTAAAATAACATCAGGCGGGAGTTATTCGATGTTCTTCCAGAATCTGGAACTATCTTTGTAAAAAATGGAAAGCTTCTTGACAGAGAAGGCACCAATTCCTACTCACCCACCTTGCAGGCCATAGATTCAGATGGCAAGATTGGTACCACTGTTGTGATGATCAACATTCTGGATATTAATGATCAGACACCAGAAATGAACAGAGAACTTTATGAGGCCTATGTACAAGAGAACCAAATGTTAGAGCTTACAATCCAGGTAACTTTATGGATGTAATAGTGATTGAGAAAGCACCATAGACATCTGAAATGATGAAGAGAGATTGTGTGAATGTTTTGCATGCCACTCTTACTCATGTAAGTAGTAGAGCATGGTGCAGGCAACACCTAGGTCGTGGACTTGATTTTCAGGGAACACAGAAAAAAACTGTATACCTTAAGTTCACTGTGAGTTGCTTTGCCAAGTAAATAAATGTAGCGGAAGTATCTATGTCTCTAATGGAAGACCTATTTATTTATTTTTGATAGGCTAGAGACGGAGACGACCCAGGTACACCAAACAGAAAAATCCAGTATCGCATTGACGACAGCCCATTCAGTAGTAACTTTACCATAGACAAAGACACTGGTTTGCTTAAAAACAGTGGTCTATTGGACCGTGAGGCTATTGACCTTGCCCCAGATGGTGTGATTGAGTTGGTGGTGATCGCTTCAGATATGGGCACACCATCCCTGTCCTCCACAGCCAAAGTGACCATCAACATTGGGGTGAGAATGCAGCATTTTTATAGCTAGAGATTAATTTTAAGACCACTTATTGATGTCTTTGCAATTATATGTATACATTTAAATGTATATAAATAAACTTGTAAACTTAAGTAACTAATTTTTTCTTTCTATTTTTCCCAGGATGAAAATGACAATTCTCCAAGGTACCTTGATCCTGCTCCCTACGAATTTAAAGTAAAGGAAAGTGAAAGGGGCAAGTAACTTGTGCTTTTTCTGAACAAATTTCAGTATGATTTTAAGTAATTGTTTAGTACATTTCCAGAACTGTATTATTATTTTTTAAATATGAACATTTAGCAAGAACTGTCAACTTTTTGTCCCCCCTCTATAGGCATATGGGTTGGCTCTTTGCGGGCTCACGATGCCGACCAATCAGACTTCAATAACCGTATCTTCTTTAGCATTACTGATGGCAGTTTTGGAAGTTTCATATTATTTTCTGAGGCCATCAGTGGAGGTTACAGGGGAAACATCACTGTTGATCCTGCTGTTGAGCTGGACTACGAAAGTGAACGGAAGACATACGATCTAATGGTAGAGGCCTCAGACTTGGGTCAGCAAAAGGTTAAGACTACAGTCAAAGTAATAGTGGTTGATGTGAACGACACTCCGCCTGAATTCCCATCCGACATGGTCCTGAATGTAAAAGAGAACAGCACCTTGTCAATGCCTCTGGGCACAATCAAAGGCAAAGATGTGGACACTGAACACTTTCTAGAATATGAGCTTGATTCTACTGAATGCCAGTGCAATGGCAGCAGAGGTCCATGTCCCGAAGAGTGGTTCAAAGTTGAGCTTAACGGTGAAGTAATAACTAATACCATCTATGTTATTGACTACGAGAAATGTGATAAAGTGTTCTTGAATGCCAAGGTGGTGGATGTTTTAACTGAGAAGAGGAGTGACAGTACTGAAGGTGCGTTCTATTGCTTCATATGGTCCATTAAAATGTGCTTTCTTCATTTCTTTCATAGTATGTTCTGTTGTTAAAGGCATAGCTCATCCCAAAAATGTTCCAATTCATATAATTTTCTTTCGTGAATGGAGCACAACAGGTGTTTCTTTTATATATATATAT